ATAATCTGGAGCTGAGGGTACCACGTGCACCCATTTATACCAGGAGAGGAGGGGATGATTTGGATTGTCTTCAGCCTGGTCCAAGCACTGAACCTCCATTAGCACCAATCCCAGGTATTTCCAGAGAGAATGCTGCAATTTAATTTAATATAAAACGCACACATGGAAGATAGAGAGCAGGAGATCTGCTGTGACAGCTCAATCCCAACCCTAAATAAAACATTCCCATAAATGCAGTGCAGTGTTGTGCCTGCCTGCAGCACTGGACTGTATTTTTAATGACAGTGACTGTGCATAAAGAGCTAGAAAAAAACCTGCTTTTCTCTAGCAGGGCAGAGAGGGGCACAGAGCCTCCAGTTTGCCCAGCCCAGGGCTGTGTAAATCCAAACCAACCACGAATATTCTCATTAACAGCCTCAAAACCCTCTGAGTTCCATAAAACACAAACAAGTGTTTTTAGCCCTCTGATTTAGACAGATCACTTAATACACACATTTTTGTACCTCGGATTTATTTGTATTTTAAAGACGATGGAAAATAATATCCTAAAAAGAACTCAACATTTCGTTCTTCAGGCAATTCTTTTGAGTTGAGGAACTATAGCTCAAGGGCCGATTCAGGGAATGCTCAACATTTGAGAACAAAATGACTTGGATGACATCTAGTGGGAAAATAAGCAATCACTGCCTGAAATTCTGAATGGGGAAGACGGCCAAGAGGGAGGCTCTTCATGAAAACAGGCGGGAGGAGAGAGGATTTCTTGATAAAATCAGTGGAGTACAATTTAGGAGAAGAATTTCCTAAATGACAAGACTTGATCTGCCTGTGGAATAATCTGAGGAAATGGGATTTTTGATCTGACAGGCAAAATTACATTAAGCAAAACCCAATTAGGCAAAACCACGATAAATGTGCAGCAGGGAAAATATAGACAGGAGGAAGCTCTGAGTCCTCCTATGTGGAAATACTCAGAAGGCTCTCACAGCCAGTTCTGCAGAGTGAAGTAGGTGAGAGGAATATTTTGGCCTTCAGGCAACTCCTGATTTGAGAGAAACCACAGTTTTTCTTCAATTCATTTCTGCCAGCAATATTCCTTGATGTGAGAATTAATTTTGTGATTGATTTTTTTTACCCTTCTTCTTGCTTATTTGTAGAATTCATTAATTACCAGTGACTCACACCCAATTACAAAGATATATTTTGGTTAGCCTGCTCTCACCAACCTATTTAAAAGTACAAAAGAACAGAATTAATCAAGGTGAGAGGTTTTAAATGAGAAGCTGTCCATTGGCAATGTGAGGTGAGCAGGTTTTTCACCATTGGAGATGGAAACAATGCTTGAGAAAACTTCTGCCTTTTTAGGTCAAGAACAGGTCACTGACAGCAATAAATGACTGTAACCCCTTAACAGTGACTAGAAAACATAATGGCATCTTCTGCCTGAATTTGCTCTCAGCAGGTCACACGTTTGATCTGCAGATTTATCTCCAGCTTGCAGCTTTTATTCTGAACCACAAGGAAAGCACTAATCTCCCCTCAGCCCTTTCCTCCCTGAATAATCATCACAGCCCCCACAGAGCTGACTGGAGAAGCCAAGGCCTCCAGAAAAAAGGAATAGAGAAAGGAAATATTAATGCCATTGAATTGAAATAGATGAAATTGTGTTGAAGTCACTCAAAATACAGTACTGTGTTCAAAAATGATGACTCCAACTAGTGAAAGGAAGGTTTCTGAAATGATCTCTGTGTGTTTGGCTGCAAAGCCAGTAAAATAGGATCATACAAGTTTATAATAGTGCTCATGTAAACAAAGAATGCCATGTCTGTGTGAAGGGACAGCAAAAGCGGGATTTACTTTTCACTTTTGACTGGGTATGCAAAGTCCTGGCTAGAAGTTTTCCTTTGCTTTCAGGGGGTGAGGTGAGGAGAGCAGGGTTGTTTGAAACAGGAGTTCCAGAAATCCCTCTCTACTGAGAGGAGACAGAGCCTCTCTCATTCACAAAAACTTCAAATGGATTCTCTCTGTGGAAATAAAAGTACTTTCATACCCTAACAAGATTATAGCAGATTATAACTATTTTTTTTTCAAATTGGCTCTTAATAAATCCTCTTAAAAGAAGAATCCTCATTTGGCCTACAAAAAGCTATAGCCCTAAAATCAGAAATGCAGATGCCTGGTGCTTCTGCCAGATACTCCCTCACCTCCACACATATGTTCTTTTTGGTTTTTTTTCTCATAGAAAAGATCAAAATTCAAATGGGGTTTGAAGTATTTTTGTCTTTTTCCCATGGCACTGTCTGAATTGCCTTTTCAAATGCTAAAAATAAGATATAACAATAAAGCATTTTCTTAAGGAAGTTCCTTACAAAGTTCAGGCTCTTGGTAACTCATTAGAGCTAATGAAGAAAAATTCTTTAAAAATAAGTAAAAGTTACACAACAAGAATTGGAGCCAGGATAATTTATACACCAGAAATTTCCTCTCCTCCCAGGAGCAGCCTGTTATAAAGAAAGGAGAGCTCAAAAAACACAGCTCTGCTCCACATCTGCAACATGAAAACCTCACCTGGGCTTCATTTCCAAAAGCACAACAGAGCTCCAAGCCTGTTCCCAAAACACTCCACAGAAGTGGCCTGGATGAAACATCAGATCCACAACCAGCTGGGTTCCCAAATGTCAGCTGCCATCAGAATTCCTGTGTGTTCATGGCTGGTAACTAAAGCAAAGGAAAACGTATAGTTTCTAAACTTATAGTTTATAAACTTAATACTTAGTTAATATAGTTTATAAACTTATAGTTTATAGAACTTTGCATACCCAGTCAAAAGTGAAAAGTAAATCCCGCTTTTGCTGTCCCTTCACACAGACATGGCATTCTTTGTTTACATGAGCACTATTATAAACTTGTATGATCCTATTTTACTGGCTTTGCAGCCAAACACACAGAGATCATTTCAGAAACCTTCCTTTCACTAGTTGGAGTCATCATTTTTGAACACAGGTAAGCCAAGTTAAATACTGTATTTTGAGTGACTTCAACACAATTTCATCTATTTCAATTCAATGGCATTAATATTTCCTTTCTCTATTCCTGTCTTTCTCTATCCTTTAATGATGTCACCTGACTATTATGGTTATTTTGATATTATGCTGTGCTTTTATAATTTTTATTGAAATGGTGAGAAGGCAGATCTTAAGCAAACCTGGCTGACTAATACAGAAAAACTCAATTTCACAGGCCAACTTCATCTCCCTCATCTGCTGGGGCTTGTGTGTGTGAGCAGCTCAGGCCCAAACTATCTTTTATACCTGGAGATTTTTTGGAGAGAAAAAAACTCACAAATTTCAAATTAGTTTTTCCAGATCCTCTCAGATCCAATAAGAAAAACACATTAGGAAGAAAACAAAAATCCCAAAGCATTTCCTCTTCCTGCCTGCAGCAAACACAAGACCCAGCCCCAGCACTTCATGCCAGGCACAACCATAAATAGCAGCTTGCTCTGAGATGCTGGCCCATCCTGCACAGGAAAAAGCTCATCTTCCCTGCCACACTTCCCTGGGGACTCTGAGCACTGCCATCCTCACTGCAGCACTCCAGCAGGCAGAGGGAAAGGGATCAGGAGGAATCAAAGAGGGTAAGTGTCAGCCAGGCACTTCCCCAGCTCTCCCTTCTGCATTTCTGCCACAGTTCTTGTTCCTGTTTGAGTTTGGGTTTCTTGCTGTTTCTATATTAAATCACAAGAGTTCATCTTTTCCATAAATATCACTTAACTTTTTTCAGCCAGCTGTCATAGTCTGTCCTTCTAAGGTGTTTACTTTGGGAAAAAGAGCTCTGGTAGATTTCTTGAAAAATCACGGATGAGTATCTGGATTCAGAGCAAAGATTCTCAGAATAACTCACTGGCAAAGACATAGGAGATGGTTAGGATGAGTGTTTCAGCTTCAGAAAGATTTTCAGACATTTACAGTTATTCAATCCCTTAAGCTACATTTTGAAAACCGGTTTAAACACACAATTTTAATGCTAGATCTATGAAGATATGGAAGCAGAATAGAAACCTTTGCCTAAAACTAAACTGGTTTTCCCCATCATCCCGTGGTGACATTCCGTCCCAGAATTTTGATCGATAATATTTTTTGTACAATTATGAAGGGAAAAGAATGAACCAGAGAGGAAAGGGAAGAACTGTGCTCTGTCTTCAGCATTTGTGCTGAAACTGGTTGTTGGGAAGGATAAAGATTTGACAAGAAGGTTTTACAGATATGTATATATAACAAAAAGATCTTTGAATGTAGAATCTGAAGAAGGAATAGAAATGATAGAAGTTTTGATATAGAAGAAAAGAATTGCTGAGCCAGTCTTACTGGAAGACAAAGAGCAAGTGAGTTAGAAGGGGCTTTTATGACTTAGTGCAAAGGATAAATCCACCTCAAACAAAAGATGTTTTACCATGCAAAAAGATTTTTACAGGCAAACAAGAAAGCCAGTGTTGCAAGTAGAGAAAAGATTTCAGAATTTTTTATTGCAAGAAAACTGAAAAACAGCTTTTAGCTTAAACTGTAACACACTAACTTTTTGTGATTGGAACATAGTAACATGAATATGGTAATGTCAGTGGTTAGGATAGGCTATAGGTAATAGTAAAGGTGTTAATTGGGTGTTATGTTTTAAGATGCTCTGCAATGAAAAGTGTAGAATGCATTGTAACTAAAACTAGAGGGGCTTCAGACGAACCTACAGCTGTGGCTGAAAAGGCTGTGGGCTGGGTTCTGTCACCCATGACCCGTGAATTGCTGTATCATTTGGATATAACAAACAGCATTTTAAAGATTCACCTGGACCCTCACATCCCTCATTTCAGCTCTTACAGCTGGGGAGAGCGGTTCTGTGGGACATACAGAAAGTTAAAGATTTTATTTCACAAACCTAAACCTGGGGAGTGGGGGGATAACTGCCCTTAGACCCAGGGTGATGAACGTGACTCGTTGCTGTTTGTGCAGGTGCGGATGGAGCTGCTGGCCGCGCTGGGCTGTGCCCTGCTGCTGCCCGCCGTGCTGGGGCAGGACTGCCCCTCGCCGTGCAGGTGCTGGTCCCTGGCGGAGCCGGGAGGGATGCTGGAGCCGGGAGGGATGCTGGAGCCGGGAGGGATGCTGGAGCCCGAGGCGATGCTGGAGCCCGACGCGATGCTGGAGCCGGGGGCGATGCTGGAGCCGGGGGCGATGCTGGTGGACTGCAGCTCCCGGGGGCTGCGCTCCGTGCCCGCCCTGCCCCGCCGCGCCCGCAGCCTGCGCCTGCACAACAACAGCCTGGCCTCCATCCCCGCCGGGGCCCTGGACAGCCTGCGGCACCTGCGGCACCTGCAGCTCGGCGACAACCCCTGGCACTGTGACTGTCACATCCTCTACCTCAAGCTGTGGCTCCAGGATTTCTCGGCGCCCGCTCTCGCCGGGCTCAGGTGCGCCAGCCCCGCTCACCTGCACGCCAAGCCCCTGGCGCAGCTGAGCGGCGGGGACCTGGGTGTGTGCACCAGGCTGCTCCCGACACAGTGCCTCCAGTTCTTCTGGAGAGACCTCATCCTCATTGCTGGAGCCGTCATTACCCTTCTTCTGGCGGCCTGGGCGCTGAAGTTCTCCAGGAGGCTGGTGTGCCGGCTCACGCTCGGCGGCCGGCGGCGGAGGAGCAGCGTCCCCAAAACGCGCAAGACACAGTGAGCCCGTCCCTCCCGGCACAACCTTCCCTCTCCTCCACAACAAAACAAAACAAGAGCACTGGTAACACTGGTTGGAATAGTCAATGCTAAAAATGCTCATAGTCTGGGTCCTCTGGCGAGTTTGATGTGATTTTTATGCAAAAAGAAGCTTGGTGAGGTTTGGACAGGCACCTTTCATCCTGCTGCCATCTATTCGTGTGAAGAGCAGTTTCCACGTGTAAGAAATCATTTAACTTAGTGCTTTCCCACTGAATTCTCAGCTCTTACAGAAAGATTTACGCCCCCACATCCTACACTTTTTAATATCTGGAGATGAACACCGACTGTATTATTTTAACAACTCTTTTCTCACTCAGGCTCTGTGAGTTTACAGCCCATCACCATCTCATGGTGTCCCGGTGGGCTCGCAGGACCATTCCTGTGTGCACAAAAACTCCGCGTCTTTCCTCAGGTTCAGGAGCTTCCTGCCACCAAAACCAGCGAGATTACATCGACCAGACACTGAATGTATCCCTTACCGAACGCAGGTAAAGATGGACCCGTAAAGAGAATATAATCTGCAAAATAATTTTAAATCTTACTGGATTTCCTGGAGGGTGGACAGTAATAAAGCACTCTATTGTGAAACTGGAATAATGGGTGCTTATTGAACATTCATATTGACCCAAATTTGATCTCTTTCACGATTCTAAACATTTCTGATTAGATTTCTTAGATATTTCCAGAACTTGTCCTCTGGAGACAATTTTAGAATATTTCACTTGCACTGAGCTTGTCAGTTTTTTAAAAGATAACCACCATTCTGTAGGAATGCAGAATATTACAGAAGAAATGCACTCTGCCATCCCTCACAGAATTTCCTACATGGTATTTCTTGTTTCCCCAAAATGAAATAAATGATAAACACTAAAAGCTTCTCACTCTTTTCTGTGCCTATAAACGAGATATGCATAGAATAGTAAAATGCTTTACTCCATGGCTTCAATAGTACAAATATTTTTAAAATGAGCAATCAGCAAACATTTCCGCTTGCACCAACACATCAAATAAGATGCACAGAATGCAGGAAGAAAATAATTGAGAGAATTTTTCTGTTCTTATGAGAGGAAAGAGGAGAGAATCTCCTCCATGCCAGTAGTTCACATTCTACCAAAACAGCGTTGTATTTATAACTTTTCATCCATTTGAGTTTTATCTGAAAAAAAAAACCCCTCTGCAAAGGGGACAGCTGGAACTGACTGAGGGCTCAAAAGCAGCACTCAGTGTTTATCTGGCAGGGCCACCGTGTCGTGCTTCAGCCACACACTCCATCAAAGTGCACGAATAACACCACAGCCTCTAGCAACGTGCAAAGGCAGGGAAATACATCAGCTATCAGAATGAAACACGCAGGCAGCACTTCCAAAATGGGTTTGGAACACCCCAGAAACTGTCACTGCATCCTGCCTGCAAGGGACAAACTGCTGGCTGTATCTGTTTGCATGGTCTGGGAACACAGGTGTGACTGCTGGGATGATAAAATATAAAATATAATAAAAAGATAGAAAATAAAATCAAATAAAAATAAAAT